ACTTGATCCTCCTGCATCATAGGAATGGAGATCTCTTTCCCTTTATTGGAACTATTAATGCCCGAATTTGAAGTTTCCTTAGAAAGAAAAGGTCCCACATCGGTGCCGTCCTTCACTCCCTTATTTTTGGTCGCCTTTCCAAGTTCATTCGAATCTTTAATTAAAGCTGCAAAACGGGATCCTTGATTGTTAGTTTCCTTATTCGAGTTTTTCTTACCGTTACTATTGCTAGCCGGAGTCCGTCGGCTCCGCCTTTCCACGACCATCCAAGGGCCATAGGGGCTGTTTTCAGGTTGACTACACCCTCTCTGTACGTTAACTTTAGAGCTGATTGCACGCACCGAGCTACCCTCCTCATGGCTGGCAGTGGTGTTCTCTGTCGAGTGCTCCTTCACAATCTCTTAATCCGCCGATTTTGTTTTTGAGAAAGGGCTGTTCTCTTTTGAGAGACCAAACCCCCCACAAGAGAAGCAAATACATGGAAGATTTTCATACTCCGCCACTTGAAGTTTATTTCCTACCAATATTCGAGATATAAGTGGTTTCTTGAGGTCGATAAACACTGCCACTCTCGCAACCCGCCTTCTGCTGCTCGTTTCTTTGCATAAATCCACTTTGGTGACCCTGCCAATAAGATTACCGATACAAGTTAGAATCTTCCTTTTAAACATATATTCCGGCAGACCTGGGAAACGTGATTCGTCTTATTTTGATTATTATATTGTTAACTTTAATTATTTGTTGACTTGATATATTAGTAAAAATATTTATATTTTAAATTTACTTAATCATTTTAGATATAATACTAATTTGATATTAAATTTCACATAAAATATTAAATTAATCTCTAAAGTTTATATAAATTATCAATTTGATCCCTAAATCTAATCAAAGTTCACCTTGTTGGCTGCCACTCATCATTCTGGCTGGTCACCTTCGATTTTCATCACAATCACCGTCAGCTGTCATCGTCGATGATCGTCTGACCCAAAGTCTTCAATTAATCTATTTTTGACCTCCAACGAATCAAATGTCTATTTCACCAAATATAAAAGACTAAAAATACAAAAAAATCAAAAATCAAACTAATATCTCTTGTAACCATGTTAATTTAACATTCTGTAATATAATAATTATTTTCATAATAAATTAATTTAATAATAGATGTTTGTGAATCTGATCTAGAAAATCCTTACAACATCTACAACATTAAACCCAATGAGAAGGTAAGTTTTGACTTTCATTTCATCTGTTATAAGATGGAAAAACAATATCCAAAATCTATGATTTCCGTAAGAATCAATAAATAAAATATTTTCATTATTTAGATTTATTGAGACAAGCCATCTCTCATATCCCCACAATAAATTACACAAATTTGGCAATATTTGGATATGTTTACAATCACATGATTTCCCCATTTTAACAGAACAAACCTAGATGTTCCCAATATTAAGAACTCGAAATTTGAATGAAGGGAAGAAGATCTCCTCTGTTATCAGTTCTTTATAGATATTGAAAATATTATTTTGGAAAATGTGATCAACTGCCTCCGTAGCATAGTGGTAGTGCGTTCGCTTCGTAAGCGAAAGGTCGCGAGTTCGATCCTCGCCCGGGGCTTTAAATTGCTTTCACTCGCACAATTTGGAAATATAACACTTGCATGTTGGGTCCTGTCCCCATCTAAAACAACATTATTTTTGGGTCAATTAAATCCAATGCTCGCTTTCCTCGGTTTTTGGCTCATTAGGGCAAACCATTTTTTTAATTATCCTAATATGCCATATAGAAATTTATTTTGGAACTAAACATTTGTTACAGTGTTCAACTAACTCATCACGTCAAAGTGATGAGTTTGTCTAAATAATTTTTTATTGAAACTCGTTACGTCGAGATGACGAGTTTTAATAAAATATAATTTTCAATAAAATTTTATCATATTATAGTAAAAAGTTTAAACAAAAAAATATTTTTATTAGAACTCATTACGTTGACGCGACGAGTTCCAAATCACTATAACAAATGCTATAGACCCCTAAATAAATTGATTTGTGTCGTATTGGGCTAAATAATTAGTCCGCCTATAATATTGAGCTAAAATTGTCTGCTTTCATCTGCACCCATGTACTAGTTGGATATCCATCCCACTCAAGCTTGATTATTAGTATGCTTTTTTGAAGTAGTTATTTAATAATAAAAAATCAAATTTCATAATATAATAAAAATTTTATATTTTTATACAAGCAACTAATTTTTATTCAAAATAGGAAATATCTCAAATTACAATAAAGATTTACAATCACAATCGTAAATTAAGCACATAATTAAGAATTTTTCTATAATCATTGAAACAAAACTAGCAACTTAAGATCACATAAGGACCATATAAGGAAAGATTAAAAATCTAACTAAGAAACTCGAGCAAAGATATATATAAAAACAGATCTGATTGCATCGGGAAACGAATCATAAAAGAGGATCAAACTATTGAAAGACCACCGACAAATCATAAATCAGACTCGAGCGACATGAAAAGCTATCCACGAGTTGGATATCCAAATCCAGTTTGAGAGTCCAAAGTAGAGAATATCAACAAGATATCAAATAAGCATCATCAATTAATATATAAGCAAATGTCATCATGTAAGGTAGAATTCATTGATATAATATACAATTTTTAAATTTTGCATCTGTAGAATTATTGATTAAGTGAAAATAAATGGCTCAAACTAATAATAAAAACTGAGATGTGTCGCAGTGGTCTTTTGGCTTATCCCCGGGTTTGCGTTCCGACTTGGAATCGTTATGGAGTCTCCACCGATCGCTTTTGAATTAGGTATATCATACACATACTTACCAATTACTGGATCTGCATTTTACCAGAGATGTGTCGGATTCTGGAGTCGTTTACGATCAAAGAAGGATGAGTACATTCGAATCGCCCTTTCGATACCAATCAATTACCAGGTTATCTTAATTGCGAAAATTATAAATCTAAATAAATTAAGTTCAATATGAATTAGTTACCTTCGATTATTCGAAAACTTAGTGGATTCCTTTAAAAGAAAAATCGATGTTAAGATAAAAAAAGGTGAAGTGAATAAATATAAAAAAAATAAAAATAATAACACTGCAAAACAAAAAAACAGATTAGGGCACCAATTTAAAATACAAATTAAAAAAAGAAAGGGATTAAATTGAAACGAAATGAAAATTTAAGAGTGAAATTACAAGTTGCGACTGAATTGAATTACACATCAAAACTGTAGGCGGCGCGGAAATAATTTAAAATTTAGTAATTGCATCAAGGTCCCTTGTATATAAAACCCCAAAACCCAAAATTTCACTCATTTCTCACATTTATCCCAAATCCCTCACCCAAAACACTCTCAACTATATCTTCTTCTCCGGCTACGACTTCCTCACCGAAAACCTACTGTTTGACGGCAGACCAACCTTCATCGAACCTCTCAAGCTCGCGCTCTCTCTTATTTTTTTCAAAACACATTGGACTCTTTGTTAATTAAGAGTTAATTGACAATGGGGAGTTTTTAATCTAATTTAAAGTTAGAAAACGACGGAAATTGATGAAATATAAAATATGATAAAAAAATATAACATTTTCGATTGAACGTAAAATGTTTCGAAGAAGGTAACATGTTAGGTTGTCAAACGAAATTGTCATAGAGAATGTAACATTTTAGCTTCAACCGAAAATATTAAGAAGAATGTAATATTTTAAGTTGTGTCCAACTTAAAATGTTATACTAACTTTTATCATATTTTCAGTTACACTAATTTCCATAATTTTTTAGCCTTAAATGGTTAGAATAGCTCAGTTGGCTAGAGCATGTGGCTGTTAGCCTCAAAGTCGAAGGTTCAAGCCCTTGTATTTTTAAAGTTTTTGGAATTTTCTTTTCCTTTTAACTTGTCGTCCATTCCATATGCTCCAAATAGAAGAGTTTTATAGGTCCCCAACTCCACAGAAATAAATGTCCTTGTAAACTGGTCGCGTGTCATTTCATTTTTATTCATCAACCATTGCTTTTAGATGATCTGTTGAAATTAAAATAGCAACTCATCCTATAGGGTCATCATCAACTAGGTGGCATATGATCTATAATATGGATGGATAGAGGAGAATAATCGGGTAGATCTTCCTTCAAAAGTTTTAATTTTTCACATAATTTATATATTTATACTTTTTTTTATTAATAATTTGTTTTTATTATTTCTTAAATTCACATTTCTCAAAATTTTATAAATTAAACTATAATATAAAAATGAGTAAAATATATAAATAATCTTCAATTATAGACAAGGCGGATGCATATGACTTCATAGGAGGCCATATTATTTTAATATATAAATATAGTTTAACATATTAAAAAAGAAGAAAAATAATTTTTTACATACTCATTATATTGAAAAAAATATATTAAAAATTTTAGACACCCATTTTTATATTTCTGGATCTGTCATTTATTATAGGGCGTTGGTTTGTTGAGTCATTGACTATTAAAAATTAGAAAATGATCTCCTCTTTACAAGGTTTGATTATTAAATTTATAAAACGATCATTCGATTATACATATATTACAAACTCGTTATTCTTTGTTAAAAAAATCGACAATCATTTAAGTTGAATATTAAACTTACTAGGATATGATAAAGTCAAATTTTAATAATGTCTATTGACAATGTCGTTTCTTTCAAGCGGTACAATATTTTAAGCTAGTCAACATAATATAAACGAATAATCGATTCACAAAATACATCCCAAACAATATTAATATCAAATTCTATCATATCTCAATCAATAAATTAAAACTTAATTTAGATGAAATTCAACTCTTGAACAAAGAAAGATAAATTTAAAATATATAAAGAATTAATTAAATATTTTATAATTTTAATAATTAAAAAACTCCACAAAATAACATGTTATAATTAATAGATCATTTTATAATTCAGCTGCTGCATGTGGTGACATTCGTGTGTATAATATTTACATTTTCTATAAAAAGACGAAAAAGACCAGGTGCATGTGCCGACATTCGTACGTATAACAATTACAACGACATTATTCCACCGCATCAAATGTCTGCACTGCACCCTGATTGGACAAACCCAGAAAACTCATCAGGTACATCTAATTTCACGATTTTACTATTTTGCTCTTCAACCATGTAAAACCCATGGGGCGAACCTTGGTAGTCCGACCCCGTAATGAAAACCCGCCCTCCAAGTGTTATCCCACATGCTCCGACCCGGACAACCGGGTTCACCTCCGCCCAATTTAGTAATTTCCCATTTTTCCCGATCCCGACACACGATCTCGGGCACCGACCCGGTTCCCAAACCCCTTCGATCCGCCTCCATTCACCGGACTTTATCCCGTACACGTCGGCGCTCCCATCGAATTGGCCTTGGCTCTCCGTTCTATATCCACTCACCACCCAGAACTCGTCTTCTCCGATCATCACCACGCCTTCACACTCGTCTCGCTCTTGACTCAACTCCCCCAACCGAGTCCACTCGTCCTTCCTCAAGTCATAGACCCACGCGCTTCTTGAGGCGTTCTTGTTCTCGTCATGCCCGCCCGCGACATACACCCGACCCGAACATGCTCCGATTGCAAAGAAGGATCTTTTGGATGGCATGTCCTTCCCTTGTTTCCACTGCCGAGTCATGAAATCGTAGATAAAAACGTCAGTAACGGGATCGTAACTCACCGAGTCCCACCCGCCCATCACTACAAGCTTCCCCTCACAGCTTGCTAATTGACAGAACAGAGGCAACCCGTTTGGGTACTTGGGAACCGAAGCAAGTCTATCCCAACTCTGACTCACCGAGTCAAACACAGCAATTCCATATCTCGGAGATACACCCGATTTCTTAGGTCCATCCACGATTCCACCGTTAAAGGATAGGACCAAGAAGGCGACTTTTTGGATGTACCCTAGTCTTTTTCGGTGGTAATAAAAATCTGGGCTTTGGAGCAAATCCCGCCATCGATGACAAACTCGAGACGCGAGCCTATGAACAGTGTAAGCTAACCGAGATAAGCACTCAAGACCGAGTTCATCAGGTAAACCCGGAAGAAACTCGGTTGAAAACTCAAAATTTTCCATTTGCTTAAATGTTTCCAGAAGGTTTTAATTTTTCAGAAACACATTGGAAACAAAGCCATCAGCCATCACTTATTTATAACACAGTTTTTTTTTTTTGGATAAAAAATTACAACACACGGTTGGATAAACGGAGGAGGCACTGGACTTTGGACGAGTGACACGTGTACGCTTCAATGTATTTGATGCAGCACCTGCAGATATTTTAACTAGGCTTGCTGCAGAGCGGATATGTGCAGATTAAGGGATCACACGTGGCCGTTATCTCTGGCTATTATTAGCCGGTTCCATCTGATCGTGCGGTTCTCGTTTGATCAGGTAATCGATCAATCGGAACCTGTTGATGATGAGACGGTGCAACATAACATAAATTATTTATATGAACATATAATAATTATTTATTAATCGAATTTGAATTATTTATATAAAAATATGTGTGAATTTTTAAACAAAATTTATTTTTATTTTCAATTTATATATTATAGTAATTAATTATGACTATAATCTTAAAACTATATTGAATTTTCTCTCGAAAACGTATTTTTTGCTTTTCATTCTCCTCTGTGACGAAAAAGGTTAATTGAGAACGAAAGAATAAGGTGGTGTTTGTTTTTACTGTGTAAGGTATGTAAAACTCTTATGTCTGCGTCGCGCAGACCACGCGCAGACATTGGGCTTCGCAGACCGTTTGTTTTTTAGAAGACAGAAGCCTTCTAACGTCTGCGCGTGGTCTGCGCGGCGCAGACGTGGTCTTTGTCTTCAGACGTTTCTAACCTCTTCAAAGAGGTTTTATTTAATTTATATTATATTTTATTTTAATTTTAATATTAATTTTTTAAATAAATTAAATATTAATATTTTAATATTATATTATAGATATTAATTTTAATATTAATTTTTTAAAAATTAAATATTAATTTTTAATATTATATTATAGATATTTAATTTTATATCATAAATATTTTATATATTATTAAAATTTTATATTATTTTAATTATTTGATTTAAGTTTAAATATAATATTTTTTAGATTTGTTATTTTTAAATTATATTTAAACTTTTTATACAAAATGTAAGTATTTAAACCACATTGCTTAATAAAAATGATTTCATTGTTTGATAATTAAGATTTTAAAATATAAAAAATTATAATTATGTTTTTAAAATTTTAAAATATAATCACAATTAAATAAAAAATAATCAAAATAATTTGATAAATTAAAAAATATTTTCTAAAAATATCATATAATTATAAAAAAAATTATGAATATATATTTAAAAAAATTAAAAGTATTACAAAATTACATATTTAAAAAAATCATATAATTTAATGATCATTTATAAATTTTATTCTATAAAACTTATAAAACTAATAATACATGTGATTATGTGCGACGTATAATAGAATTAATAAGGTAGTGTTTGTTTTTTAAAAAAAATTATTATTGTAGTTGTATAAATTATTTAAATTTTAGTATTGTAAAACTAAAATTATTTAAATATCAGTATTACAAAACTCTTTTAAGTTTAAAAAATCAGTTTATTTATATTTCAGTTTATTTTAGCAGTTTGTAGACGTTAAAAAACAAACAGTCTTTTTCTTGCAGACTGCAGATTTTTGGTCCACCTCTTCTGCTACAGATGCCTGCAGATGTGGTCCGCAGACTGCAGACATTTTACCTCTTCAAAAACAAACACCACCTAAGATGCCGACCATATGTAAAACCTTTCTAAAAACCAGCAAGCGGGTGGCAAAGACACGACAAATTTTGCCAGACTATGTTTATATTTAATATTATATGGATCACATATTCAAATAATTATAATATATCAATTATAAAATATAAAAATAATTTAAAAAAAATTAAGATATTTATCTCATATTTTAATTATAAAATTGAAATTTTGATTTTCAATCGTAAAAATAAATTATACTTAACAGTTAATAGTTTGTCTCAATATAAAAACATCTGAATTAATCATTATTGTTAACAATAAATATTTGATTTAAAAATAATAATTTATTACAAGCATAGTAACAATTAAAATGATGTAATGCACCACCAACAGTTAGTTTTAGTGCTAAACAGTTTGATATCGCTTAAGTAAAATATTGAGTTCAAATTTTTGTGTATAGAAGACTCATCCACTAAAATTAGAAGTACAATACGGATTGATCCGAATTAGTTTAAAAAAACTTTTTTGATTAGGGAGTGAAAAAATAATTTAACGCATTAAAGATAACATTATAAAACTGTCATTAATTATTAATCTACTTGAAGTTCAAAGATTATATTACAATTGTCATTAAACTGTTTGTTGATGAGTTTTACAATTCATGTTCAACTGCATTTTCTTTTCTTTTGCCCTTTCCTTTTCCTTGCCAAAATCAATCAATTTTACAGTGCGGAGAGGTGGCTCCTTTGCCCATATAGGTGAAAATTTATTTTAACATATAAGTCATTCACCATATTATTTCTTGAACTATGGTTTTTTTTATTGATATGAAAACATCGTATATTTTTTAGGTCTCCTCCATTTTCCTGAAGACGTCATACAGTCGTTGTAACGCTCTAGACCTAGCCTAGAAATTATGCCCAAATCTAGGCGGTCACAACGTTAAAATACATATAACAATATAATATGAAATTTATCCATAATAAGGATTCATACGATAAACAAATATATACATATATCAGAAAACAGTATAAAACATTTATGGAACAAAATACCGATAATACATATATATCAAGACAGGAGCAAAACACATGTCACCAAAATATAACATAAAAGTATATAGAAATATACAATAGTACAAAAGTAGAAGAAGTCGGTCCTCCTGATACCAAGTCTGCTATTATTTGAAAATGTTAAAATTTACGGAATGAGCTAAAAAACTCAGTGTGCTACTTACGATGTATAAAAAAATACATATAAAATATTTCAGCAAAATCGGTTTATCAAACATGTTTTAAAAACATGAACATTACCCCCATCCGATCACCAGAATGTGTAGGTTCCCCAGAACCATACACCCACCTGTATACCCAATAAGGACTTTCCCTGTACACAAAGCATAAAAGTCTGCAGTAAGGACTTACCCTGAGCACAAAGCCAAGGAGCCTACAGTAAGGACTTACCCTGCGCACAAAGCCAAGGAGCTTGCAGTAAGGATTTACCCTGAGCACAAAGCTGAGGAGCCTGCAGTAAGGACTTACCCTGAACACAAAGCCGAGGAGCCTGCGGAAAGCGGTAAGGTCTTACAAGTCATAGACTAGGCCTGAGATACTTCCTCCAATAATACCCCCAATGACAAAAATAACATGTATGTAGTCGAATGAAAACGATAGTTTAATCCATTAAAACATGAAAATATTCCATTTTTCATAAATCAGATACGAAAATATGGTAATCCAGAGATCATATAAGAAATATAAAAATAAATCAGATATCAGATAAACCATGTTCAGAAAATTAGGTATTGTGTCGTAAAAATATTTAGTATTATCAGAATTCTCAAACAGTTCAGACAAATAATTGAAAATAGTAATGTAAAACCAACATGAAATACACCTGTATCGGTATGAGTAGTCTGATAGGGAAGTCTACTACTGAGTTTGTCGATCACGATCAACGGCAGCGCTAGATCCTACAAATCAGAAAATCCATATCAGAATCCTAATATGAATAATATTAACCTTTATTTAAATAATTTATGAAAACCTACAGGTAACTCTCGTACAACGCGGATCGAGTATATCTGACGAACTGAAAACACCGGATCTAACTGACCCTCGGTAAGGTGAAACACGAGTACATTCATAAAAATATCTTCTTGGATCCATTCCATAACCAAATCTCAAATAAATAAGCAAAATGCTAAATAAAACTAAGCATATTCAGGTTAACGAGCTTGATTCGGGCCTTTTAGGTCAGAATTTGATAAAAAAAGACTTCGTAATCGGACTCAGGATGTCAAAAAACAAAAAATATGACTTTTCAAAAAATTTAACTTTTTGGGTCAAAGTCAGCGATCAACACTCGGTTAACGGTCAATGGTCGATCAATGATCAACAATTCATGTTGGACCGGGTCGGGTCGGATCGACCCATTTCTAAGCATTCCACCAGGCAGTCGACTTTCCCAATGTCACGCCCCAATTTAAGGGGTAAATTTTAGAAATTATAAAGTATTGAATTTAAGTGGTATTTTGGAAGAAATTGAAGATTAAAGTGTAAAATCGCAAAATTAACAGATCATTTTATGATGTGCAGAAAATTCAGGGACCCAGTCCTGAATTTATCTATTTTTATTATGTGTAGAAAAATAAACCCCCTTCCCCGTGTAATATGGTTTTCCCAGATTGTTTTTCTCCCAATTTTCTCTCCCCGTCAACCACTTTTGTAACTTCGTTTTCTCCATCGTCCGACCACCGTTCGTCGATTCGAAACCACCAATGGACTCACCATTGAGCGGAGAACAAAACCCAATCTTTATCCCGTCGTGAATCGGCGTCGTTCACCCTAAATCTCAACCGAAAGCTATGTCAATTTCAACTCAATCGCCTTTGGTTTTCCGTCGATTCATGTTGATCCGACCATCCATTTTCGACACCTCTCGCACCATCGTGTTCCTTGCATCGTTCTGAGTCCACCGGTGTCATTCTTGTCTTCGTCGTCGCCGAGGCGTGAGGGGTGAGGAAGTTAAAGTTTCTGACGTTTTAAAATCGAGCTCTCCGCCGTTCAAAATTGTGAAAAAAGTTTAGTAAGTGTCTCAAAATCTCTTAAAATAATTTTAGAAAATTTTATGGAATTTTTCCAACCTCCTAGGCCGCCGCACGCACCGCCCCCTGAGAGTGGGCGTCATCTATCATCCAGGGGAGCCAATTGAGCCAAGCCAAGTCGAGCAGCCTAGACCAGTCGTTGACTAACATTGACCTTTGACTGTGACCGAAAACTCAAATTTTTTTAAAAGTCATATTTTATGTTTTTTCGATGTCCTGAATTCGATTCTGAAGTCCGAATCACCAAATTTGAACCCGATAAGCTGTTTTC